TAAGGGTGTGAGTTTTATGTTAATTTTGTGTGTTTTGAGGTTAGTTTGATTAATATTATGTCGTATGTGTATGCTTGGTTTATGTTTGATTATTTTGTGTTAGAGGTAAAATTTTTCGGTTACTTTGAACGTGAAAATGAGGATCATAGAGCGAGATTCTTCAGTTATTCTAAGTTTAAACTTATAGTTCTCAATGTTTTGAACGTTTTTCTGTGACTGTGACAAAACTCAGTTTTAACTCTAAATGTAAGTTTTAAGCCATTTTCAAAAAATCCACAATGTTGTCCAAAACGGCTACGGGAAAAAAAACTGGCAGCCACTATCACAGCCAAACGGGTCCTTTAGAGGCTGAATCTCAGCTTTCTCAAAAACGATGATTTTAGATCCTGACGAGACAAAGAATTCCCGTAAATGACATTTTTAAAAATATGACTCTAAGATATAGTACAATGTAGATCTCCGAAACTGTATAGTTTTAATCGGACAAAACTGAAACAGTGTTGGTTTTTAACAAAAAGTTATCAAAGAACTCGAGATGAGATTTCAGTAAAAATACTATGGTTTTAGACATTGTTTTAACGGGAATATTCATGCAAATAGTTTTCAAGAAAAATGGTTTCTTGTAAAAACTTAACAGTTTTCGAGCAAAAACTTAACAGCTTTCGAGCAAGAACATCCGAATGGAAAATTACTAGCCAAACGGGTTAGGTCCTTAGAATTACGAAGATTAGATGTGGGTCCAACACCCGCATTAATTCAAGAGACCCCGTTTGAGTTTAAATTTCAACGACCTAAGAGTTAGAACGTTGTTATTAAGTTTCTAAGCCGAATTGGGCTTTAATATCATAACAAGTCTAATAAGGTAAATTATGGAGAATAAGTTACTAGATTGGGTAATTGATTTTCAATTTAGGCAAGTGGATGTTAAGAGCAATTAAAGAAAATAAGATTTTTAAGATTTAATAAATTAATCTTTATAGTAAATTCTTATCCATCGATAAAGGAAAGGAATACATGTCTTAAATAAAGGATTTTATTTCCTTCATAAGTTGCTAAAATAAAATAGCAAATGACAGTAAATCTCACACTCTTAATGGTGTTCATTTTCAGAAGTAAGAAACTAAGAGAATAGGTTGTTTGGCGAATGATGGATTCCAGTTCTATAAATCAGGTAAGTAGGAATCTCGCCTACAGTATGAATAGATTTTAAAGGAAAAAGTTACACGTGTTATAAATGCATGTTTATGCTTTATGCGATGCCATGCCATATTGCATCCACCCTAATAAGTCAAGTGGAACTTATAAGAACCAACTCAGTTGAGTGTCGTCCCAGCCTCTGAGAGTGAGGTAACTCAGACTCCGCAAGGAGATAGAAAAGAAAAAGAAGTATATAGTAAGTTAAATCATGGTGTTGTTGGGGACCTTGTAAACCCCCATGTCCCGATGATTGTGCGCACATGGTACGAGCACTCGCACTCGGGCCCATAAGTAAGATAAGATCAGATAATAAAAATTTGATAAAACATGATCATAATTAAGCATAATTGGCTCATGCATATTTATTCATGTGAACTTACAGTTATTTTGCGACAGATAGTTCCTACTTGTTGAGCGAAAGCTCATCATAGAATATTTATATTGTATGTTAGCAACCTGCACATAATACTTGATGGACTGATGGCGAATGGACGAACGATGTGGAGATCGGGGAATGGATACCGCTCGCAAATATTTTCGCAATCAGTTTTACGTTATAAATAGTTTTGCTAATTATGATTCTAAAACTATAGTTAAATGGTTTTGTGGATTATGGCTGTAAGTAAGCAAGACTTAAGGATTAAGTAAATACATATAGATATATCTATATGCCTTGAGAAACAGATATGTTAAGATTTGAATATTTTAATTAAGAAAGCAATTCGTAACTTATGTCTACCATAAGACTTTTAAAAGAAAGAAAAAAAATTTCGTGAATTTTAAGAAATTTCAGTAAGTACAAGTTAATTTTAGCTACAGTGACGGCCACTGAGGAGGGTCGTCACAATTTTTGCAATTATAATGGAAACATATTTTTTTCTCTAAACAAGTACAAAATCAACGTACACATTGAAGATGACACATGAAGAACAAATGCAGTCATGTTCGGTAAAACAGTGCAATCCCTCACTAATAAAGTTTGCTATACACACTTTTAAAGAAGGCTACACTGATGGTTATATAATTCCTCTCATCTTAGAACAAATCAGAGGAATATCAAAAATATTTGTTATCTAATTTTGTAATAAGGTGCATTGGTCGACACAGTTATTTTAAGAACTTTCAACGATAATGAACCTCTGTTATACTTACCTCCAACAACATCAACATCTTCAAGAGGAACGCCATCAATTTCAAAACCCTTTACACTTAAGAGTGTCAAACCAAGGTAAATTACTATTTACATCTTTTCTATTTTTAAAAAAAAATCTTAATATAACATTAATTATAGTATAATAATATTTATTATTATTACAGTCATCATTATCAATTTCTTTTAATACGACGTGAGTCAATTTCTTCTGTTTGCTCTTTGAGAAAAAGAAAACCCATTAGGTAAGACTATTCTTTATATATTAAAATAAAAAAGTATTACCATTGATTATAATGTATTACCAACTAATATTTGTTTTCTATCTTTATTTATTGCAGTTTAGAAGAAACGAACCAAAAAAAAAAAAAAAAGGAGAATAGGCAAGAAGTCCCACGAAATATATATATGTATATGAATATGTAAATAAATATGCATGTATATGTAATAAATTTACAATAATCTGGAATTTGAATTTTGATAGTGTATCATCATTTGTGTTAACTTTTGAATATCGTTTTCATACTCTATTTTTTAAAAATATTTACCAACATAATCATTATTTTGTAATTGATTATTATATTGTTTATTCTAATCTTATAATAAAATAACTAAACAAATGTCAGTGCAATAACACGGAGATGAATTATTAAGAGGATGTTTGGTACCTAGATTCGTTCACTGATTCGAATCATGGTTCGTGGTTCGTTACAGTATTTTCTCTCACAAAAAATACACGTAAATAGAAAATAGTTCTAATCACATGGTTCTAATCTATGAACCAAAGGTTCTAATCTATGAACCAAATGTCTCCTAAATTATTACGGTGGAACTTTAAGCACACATTTTAGAAAAAATAATAGAATGCATAATTATATGTTTTCTTTTATGTTATTTGGAGGAAATATTGAATCAAATATTAATGAAAACAATGGGACCTCATATATTTAAGATTAGTGGTCAAATATATCACTTAATAGGATCTTTACTTCCAGTTGATCATAATCCTCTAAAATTTAGAGCACGTTTGCTATAAAGGTTATGAACTCGGAACCATGATTCTGGTTCAAACTAGTGTTTGTTTATAAAAAGTAAAAAATTGCGTTGATTTGATTCACCATCAGTGTTTGGTTAAAATAGTTCTGATTTAAGGTTTGAATCCTGATGTGATGTTTTAAATCAGGAACCACTCATATTCTAAAACCACCCCTTTCTTAGTTTTAGGTGGTTCAAATCCTTGATTCTGGTTATAGTGTCATAACCATGATTTGGATCTAAAATCATGAATCATGGTTCTGGTTTCAAAATCAAAACTAGAATTACCCTGGTTTGAATCATCATACCAAATGAATCCTTACATAACTGTATATTTATGATACAAAAAAGGAAATTCAGAATAGATTGTCAGTTTTTACGTCAAACAACAATTTACATGATTTGTTACTGCAAAATTAATAATGATGATAGATGAAATAAATATATTAGTTAAATTATTTAGAACTGTTAAAATTTTTTTTAACGATGATAAAACGCAATTGATGAAATTAAGATTAATAGGTAGAGGGGAAAGAGATGGTATACAATATGATCTTCCAACTTCAACAGATATAAAAGCTTTAATTGTTAGAGATGTTGGTGAATATGAAAAAAGAAGAGGTTATTATATATAGTCAAACCGGAGAATTACAAAGAATTAATAAACTTCATCCATCTTATATGGCATTACAATATTCGTTATTATTTCTTTATGGTGAAAATGGATATAGAATTGGTATAAGATGGAATCCATATTTTACAGAAACAAAATCATAAAAAAAATGAATTTCAATGAGATCGTTTTATGCTTTTCAATTGCAATAACGTTTACATGAAAGAAATACATTGTTTAAAAGTAGAAGACTCTTCCAACAATATATTACATATGTCTATGCTACTGTTGAAGAAGATCGATTTGACTATGTTAAACAGAATCAAAATAATTTAATGAATACTAATACTTTTGGTTGTAATGAGTTTGTGTTTTACTATCAGATGTATCTAGTTTATTATCTTTTTCGGGAGCGAAGATAAAGCCATATTTTTAGGAGGCAAATAGTATGACCCATTTATTTATTTAGTAGACGTTTAGTTCATAAATTCAGAATCATGATTTAGAATTATTTTCAATTTACGTGTATTTTTTATGAGAGAAAATACTGTAGCGAATCACGAACCATGATTCGAATCATGATACGAATCTTCCTTCCAAACGCAGGTTTAGCTTCTTTGGCTCTTATTATAAAGAATGATCTCATTTGATTGAAGTAATTTACTCCACCTATAGAAATTGTTATTGTACTTAATGATATTAATGATAACGGTTTCTGATTCTCAAAAAGAAAAAAGAACTAATTTAAAAGATAACAAAATAAGTTAAAATTTTAATTTTTTTTCTTTTTTTCTTAAATAATTAATAAAATTGTTATTTTAAATAAATCACACGTTAGTGCGCGTGATCAAAACTAGTTATATATAAAATATGTATGGCCTTGACAACTTGTACTATATCCTTCATTTTACATTAGATAAGCCGTGTATAGTGTTATTATATACTTCGATTCTAACTATACATTAAAATGACGGAAGTTCACAAACAGATAAAAGCAGAAAACAAACCCCCCTAACGAGACAAAATAGCTCCTTAGGAATTCGTCTTTCGTTGGAAATTAGCCACGTTGAAAGGTTCCTTGTTGTCGATATGGCAGAGAAAGGTAACTATTCTTTCCGTCGAGAATCTTCGACGACGTCGCTCAACAATGCAGGCCATTCATTTATATCTTTCTCGTCCACAAAATTCCTTTCTACCACATCCTCTCTCTCGTCTTCTACTTTCCATGTTGCTTGCAATTTTCTCGGGAAAATGGGCTCTAAACCCAGGAAGAATTCTCATCTCCGCCTTGAGTTTCATAGTTTTCCTCATCCTGGATTTGTTGGACTTTATTCTCTGTATATTCTACAGATTCATGGATGGGTTCTGGGAAGGGCAAGCTTCGCCGTGTTACTGTGAGAAGAATGGAGAGCAGAGGATTAGTGTTGGTGAGAATGAGGAAGGTGAGCTCTCTGAGACTCTGTATCGGAGGGAAAACGTGTTTAGGGAAATGGGTTTTCTTGGATTCTCGGGAAAATGGGAGAATTCCAGGAAAATAGAGGCTGGAAAAATTGGTGCCAGGTGGTCTGACTGTGGTTGCCAATCTTGTCTTTCATGGATGAGTAATGGTGAAGATAAGCTTCATGTTTGTATTTCGGAACCTACACGTGGTACTCTTCTTTCATTTTTAGTATGCTATTCCACTTTGTTCTAACAGGAAATAGGATTAATGAAATTTTCACTTTATGTTTAATGCGAAAAAAGAGAATAAGTTCAGAAAATTCTAAACAGTTTGGGGTTATTTTTGTTACCTATACTACCGACTAGATTAGATATATATGCTGGTAAATAAATACCATTAGAGTAGCCTATACACAATAATGCTGGGTAAAATTTTCGAAAGTTAATGGAAGATTTAACATATACTATTGTTAGTTTACAAATTATCCCAAAAGTTCGAGTGCAAATGCAAGAGTCATAACCTCTTACTCTGGTACTACAATAGTTATTGTGATTCAAGAAGTGGTTTTGGTCATGTATTAGAAGATTAAGACCAGTATTTGCGAGTGAATTACTTTAGATTTCAACCATGTACATAATGAATAATGCGCAGTTAGGAGGTGGTTTCTGCTGTAAGTCCTTGATTCCTTTCTTTACTTTGTTGCATACCCTATTAGAAAACCTCGTTGGCATCTAATAAACTGCAAACCAAGCAAAATATCAAGAAACTGAGAACACATTTTTAGTAGATCATGGCCCTTAATATTCTGGTTAACTTCAGAATATGTCCACTGATTTGTACATTTTAGATAGAAACTTATGAAGTAAGGGAAATGGAATTTTGGAGATTGGGGCTCGATTTTGTTTGGAATGAATGCTGGCATTTCCATGTGAGAAAATGATTGATAAGGTGTGACAAGAACTATGGTTGATTGTACCAAATTCAAAACAAGAGACAAGTTAATTTTTTTTTTTTTTTTTTTTTTTTTTTTTTTTTTTTTTTTTTTTTTTTTTTTTTTTTTTTTTTTTTTTTTTTTTTTCAATTTCAGATTTTACAGACACCGATAAGGATAGTAGTGGAAAACCGGCTGAGAATGTGATATTCTTGCACGGATTCCTTTGCTCATCCTCATTTTGGAGGGAAGCAGTTTTTCCAAATCTGTCAGAACCTGTAAAGCAAAACCATAGGCTTTTTGCTGTGGACCTATTGGGATTTGGAAGAAGCCCAAAGCCAAGGAACTGTTTCTACACTATAAAGGATCACCTAGAAATGATAGAGAAATCTGTGATCTGTCCATTTCAATTGAATTCTTTCCACTTGGTTGCACACTCCATGGGCTGCATCATCGCAATCGCCTTAGCTGCAAAGTATTCAAAATCTGTAAAATCAATCACCCTTGTAGCACCTGTAAGTTCAAAAGCTTATATATTACGTACCTGCAAATGAGTGATTTGTTTACCTTATGAAGCCTTGTAGATTATAATTACTGTAATCTTTCGTATTGTAGATCACATGTAGTCTTTTTATGATTTTATTTTCAGCCTTTCTTCCCTTTGAAAGACAGAGGAGATGTAGGAGTCCTCGAAAAACTTGTTGAAAAGCGGTTGTGGCCACCGTTAAAGTTCGGTTCCGCAGTAATGTCGTGGTATGAGCATGTAGGCCGATCTGTTTGCTTTCTTGTATGCCGGAACCATAGGACGTGGGAAAGGATAGTGAAACTACTTACAAGGAGAAGGTATAAAATGACTTCGTCACAAAATGTCAAAAATATCATCCAAATAACCAACATGAATTTATGAATTATGTCCCTTACAAAGAACTGGTTTTGATTGCCTTCCGTTTCCTTTCCAGGGATCTACATTACATGACTATAGATTTACCTAGACACACACATCATTCAGGTTGGCATACAATGCACAATGTGATATGTGGAGGAGCAAAGTTAATGGGAGGCTACTTGAAAGTTTTGACCGAGGCCCGGGTGAAAATTTCTGTTGTCCACGGTGATAAGGACCAAGTTGTCCCCATGGAGTGCTGCAACACCATCAAGGCTATGGCTCCACATGCAGAAGTTGACATTATTAGAGATGCCAATCACAGCACTGTAATCCTTGGTAGAAAGAAAGAGTTTGCAAGATATCTGGAATATACATGGTTGAGCAGTCAGTCATGATCCTTCCTAAAAGCACAAGTGAATCTCCAAATGAATCAACAAATTGCGCTTCATGATTGAGAGGCCTAGAGGCCGGCTTTCATATTCTTCCATCTTCATCACAATCTGTTAATATTGGCTTTGAAGATGCGAGGCTTGTGCATTCAAACTGCAAATTTGTGTATAATCATAACTTCCCACCTAATCACCTAAAAGAATAAAATACTCGAGATTCAACCATCAAGTTTAGTGTTGCGTAATTTCTGCAAGTGCACGAGTCGAATAAGTAATAAAGTAATGTGAATCAAGTGTCATCCTTAGAGATTGAGTTTCGAAAATAAAGTAAGTAGTACAACTACAATAACTTAAATTTTGTCTGGGCAATTAAATTTTAGAGAACAAACTAATTAAAACAGGAAAAGTAAACTAGCAAGCAATTAAGTGAGCAATTTGGAGAAAATGATTGAAGGGACCTCTGACGATAATAATGCGGCTAGAGGCATTGGTTTCGCTCCATCGAGCTATGTGTTGTGCAAATTTAATTTTACTCGCAAGCGTACAAATCAATTGAACTATAGATTAATGAGCAACGAGGTCGAAAACACAAGTACTGCTAAAATATGAAAAATTAATCTAGCCTAAGAGAATTGTTATTCTAGCCTAGTTGAGATAATGCAAATTGTTTGAAAAAGAAAACTAAAATTAACGAAAGAAAATAAAGTAACGCAGACAAATGAAACTGAACGCACGAGATGAAAAATTACCAAGGTTTTAGAATCCACCACTATTCAACTTAGAAGTCCTCCAATTACCAATTAATTCCCAATTTGAAGTGACAACTTGAGATTAATCTATTGCCAACTTATAGATTTAACAATTAAGTCCCAATGAAATAAATCTTAGATTAGTCCTTCTTTGCTTAACAGATAATTTCTTGAGCATTCTACGTATCAAATCCAATGAGGAAATAGGAGTTTGTTAGATATGGTACAGTCCATGATTAGTTATTCGACATTGTCTATATTTTTCTAGGGATATGCGTTACACTTCTAAATAAAGTCATGGTTTCAATAAATGCAACATTCTTTAAGAAAAGTTACATTAACGATTTTAAGCCTCATAATAGAGTTGTGCTCTAGGAGATGTCAAGCGAACCTCATCATACTGACAGTTCCTTTGAAAACTCAACCAAACAAAGTAAAAAAGAAAACCCAATAACAACCTAAAGAGCTTCAGCGTAGTGGGAGGATTAGACGTGAACTTGAGAGATTCATAATTAATAGAGAAACTTTTTTGATAGAATTTTTAGAACACAACAAGGATTCTTATACTTATAAAAATGACATGGAGGATGTTGATGCAAAACTCTGAACTGCAGCCGTGAAAGTTGAGAGAGAATTTATAAATTCTAATCAAGTTTGAAAACTTGTAAATTAAATCTATTGAGTGTAAATGGATTTATAAGAGAAAAAGAAACGCAAAAGTAAATATCTATATTTTTAGCTAAAAGAAACACAATTAAAAAAAACAAAAAAAAAAAACCTTAACATTTTCCAAAAACAAAAAGAAAAGCAAATACTTTTTAGCTACTCTCATCACCGAACCAAGCACAGTTCTTAAATTTTTGTATTCTATTTTCACCAAGAATCTAATCACACAATCCATGTTTTTCTTTCAGTAAAGCCTTTCCATTTCCTTCTCACCTTGCCGTCAAGCCTACCTCCACCACGGCCTCGCAGTCCGGCCAAACCTCAAGCGCTTCCCCTCTCGCCGCTCTAGAGCAGTCTCGCGCAGCCACTCATCTGAAGCTTGGATCGCCGAAGCCCCCCCCTTAACCTCCCCACTCCTCACCGGCATGAGGCTAGTGATGGACTTCACCATGGGCCGGCGACTGATTCGCGACGAGCCCTCTTTCTTAGTCCCATTATTGAATTTGGACTTTGCTACTGATAAATTTGAAAATTTAAATGTAGAATTGTGAATGTTAAGGTTTTGGGTCATGGATTCCAGTAAATAAGAGGTGTTTGTACTGATTCTCTTATGGTTTTTTTAAACATGTGAAAGAGTTTTGTTTTTGGATCATTGTTTTTTAGGGGTATGCTTTCCATAGTTAAGAGGTTTTTTTTGCTGTAAGGAAAGAGTTTTTAATTTAAAATGAGATGTGTAATTTTTTAAAATTTTTAATAATAATAAAAAAATTAAATGTGATATTTTTTAAATATTTTTAATTATAAAATTAAAAATTAAAAATTTAAATTGATAAAATTAATGAAGTGTAAATTTCAAATTAATAATGGGCTAGAGATCGAAGAAGATGATGGGAGAAAAAGGAAAATAGGTCAAGATTTGAGATGAATTAAAATTAATAGGTTAATAGTTTACATAAGTTAATAAATAGGTCAAATTACTGTTTTCGTTCATAACTTGTCTGGTTATGAGCCATAACTTGACAAGTTATTCACGATTTTTGTCTATAACTTGTCTGGCTATGAACTATAACTTGACAAGTTTGTCAATAACTTATCTGGTTATGAACCATAACTTGACAAGTTATGGCCTATTAATTTCTATAACTAAAAGTTAGCCTATATACTTTCTTAAGCTTTTTATATTGGTCTATTTTCTATTATTTTTCGAAGATGATTAGGGATTTCTCTTTTTGTTTTTGTTTTTATTTTTTTGTTTTTTTTATCTTTTTAATGTTAAGGTTTTTTATTCATTTTTTATTATTTTTAATAGTTAATCTTTTGTTTATATATATTTAGAATTTAGAAGATTTTCTGATACGCCGTTGTATTGATAGGTCATATTTTTTTAACTGTTGAATCTGTGTATTTTTAAATTTTTACGTGATTTTATACAGATTTAACGGTTAAAAAATCTGACCTACCGGTATATTGACGTACCGAAAATTTTTTCTTAAAATTTAATATTTGTAATTAAACTCTAATAGTATGCTACATAAGCGAATCATGGCATTATAAATGAAAGTGGATGGAAGGGATAAATTGATTCATTTTCTATAAATTAAGAGATATTTAAACTGTTTTAAAAAATCCCAACATTTTAAAACATAGTATATACTTGAAGAGAATTTATGAAATTTATAATAAAAAAAAAGACGAAGCGTTAAGAAACCAAAAACAAAAAGAATATAAAAAGTTAAAAAAAAAAAAGACGTGGACACAAAAAAGAAAAAAACGAGAGGACCATAGCGCTAATTTCATTTCGGAGCCTTTCCCTTGAATCAGATAAATCTAAAACCTCTCAGAAACCTTACCAAAGCCAATGGCGCTATTATCAGCTTCTCTGTTCCTTCCTCTTTCCCCTCTCTTCTCCCTTCCTCCAAGACGGCGCCATTTCGCTATACTGAGACCTCAAATTAGCGTTTTGTTCTCCAATGGCGGATTTTCGCGGAGAAACCTCCGAGTACGGCGGAGCCCAGTCTTCGCCACCAGAGAAGACCTCGACTTCGATGCTGTCAACATCGCGGAAGACGTAACCCAGGTTTGTTTCGATACCTAATTTTTTCGGAAAATTTCCACCTCTAATTCGAGCTATTTACTGAACTTTCCATTGAAAGTAGACATATAATAAACCGGTAGCGAAGATAAAACCACTTTAATAAGGGTTAATCCATCCCTTATGTGTACTGAAATAATTTCATTGTGACATTTGTTTCTGAGACACCAGTACGATATCTTAAGGAGAGAAAATGTGAACATTCTTTTGCTGGGTGTTTATATTTCTATGGTTTTTTTTGCCTTTTTTTTTTTCAAAGTTTAGAATTTAAATTTTATTATAGTAAAAAACTATCAGAAACAGTTACATCTAACTTTTTGTTATAGTAAAAAACTCTTACATAAAATCACATCTCAATTCAAATTAAAAACTCGAATCAACGAACTAAACGGACCCATACGCTTCATTCAGTTTTCTTATTTGAGTTTTTAATTCGAGTTGAGATGACGACTTTTTATAAGAACTTTTTACTATAGGAAATTGAAAATTCGAATCGGAGAATTGAATAAGCCATAGTTTTTGCAGTGGATATAGATGGTCATTTGATGGTTTTTTTATTATTATTTTATTATTACTTTTTTTAGATGTTGCACCTTTTCTTTTCCCCTTTTTCCGCTACGGGGTAACCTTGCTGTGGCTAGTCTTTGTGATATACTGAAATTGATGTAGTTGATTGGGAGAACACCTATGATATACCTGAACAATGTTACAGAAGGGTGCGTGGCAAACGTTGCTGCAAAACTTGAATCTATGGAACCTTGTCGAAGTGTAAAAGATAGGTAACCTCTTGACTTAAATAAAACTTGAACAGAAGTACCACCTTGTTAGACACTCATCGGAGCCTTTCATCATTCCTCGTTTATGCGACTACTACATTTTTGTTTGCTGACTTCTCTGATAGTAGATTTTAGATTTATCCATCTGATTTGGATCGTCTTAATGATGCCACTTTAGGACATGGACAAACCTTTGCTAAGGATCTGTATGAAAGTAATGAATGACCTACAATCGTAGATTTTGCACATGTTTATATGTTTTGGTCTTGAAGGAGATTGATTGCACCTTGAACTGATGTAGTTTTAACCATGACCTTTCAGAATAGGTTATAGCATGATAACTAGTGCTGAGGACAGTGGAGCAATATCTCCTGGAAAGGTGTGCTAGTGTTGTTGTTGCAATATAAATAGAGTTGCTTTGTCAATCGAAATCTTTTGTGTTAAAACTGTCTGTAAATTGTGTGATTATCTTAGTAACTGCATTGTTTTGGTTAGATAAGAATCACACTATTTTGTATGTTAATCGCAGACTATATTAGTTGAACCAACTAGTGGAAATACAGGACTTGGTATTGCCTTTATTGCAGCAACTAAAGGGTACAAACTTATAGTCACCATGCCCGCATCCATAAGTCTTGAAAGGAGGGTCCTTTTACGAGCATTTGGAGCAGACATTGTTTTGACAGATCCAGATAAAGGCTTGAAAGGTGCTGTTGATAAAGCTAAAGAAATCATCCTCAGCACGCCAAATTCATATATGCTTCAACAGTTTGATAATATTGCTAATACACAGGTACTTTTATTTTTAATCTCGAACCTGGCATCGATAATCGTTGTGATGTTGCTGTACCTAACTATATACCCAAACTAGGAGACTATAAGTACCTAATTTAGGATAAGCCTCATGAATGCAGATCCACTTTGAGACCACAGGGCCAGAAATTTGGGAGGACACAATGGGCAATGTTGACATATTAGTTGCTGCTGTTGGAACTGGCGGTACTGTCACAGGAACAGGGCGTTACCTGAAAATGATGAACAATGAAATAAAGGTTTGAAAAATTCTTTGAGAAGTAGTTGGTTTAAGGGGTTTTTTTTCACTTTACCATAGTGGATTGGAGTTACAACACTTGGGCTTTGTTTGGTAAGAGAGAAAGGAAATAGAAAGGAAAGAAAGGTAGACAACCTAGTTGAGGAGAATTGGAGAGGAAACAGAGGACTTTTCTCTCTTGTGTTTGGTATGAATTCCCTCCCTAATCTCTTTCCATATGAGGAGAGATTAAAATTGGGCTCTTTGAATGATTTCAAATCCCTCATCCAATCCATTCCCTCCGTTTTCCTCTCCTAACAAACAACCATAGATTCCAAAATCCTTCCACTAATCCCTCACCCCTTTCCCTCCTTCCACTCTTCCTTCCTAACAAACAAGCTCCGAGAGAGTTTTATGCTGGTAGGTGGTAAGGAATAAATGTAGATATGGTGAGGGTGGTTCGTGTTGCGTGTTTTCCGCAATTGAGCGGGTCGCAAAAGTAATAAAGTGTATCTAAATGCATATCGTCCCACGGAGATTGAATTTTTGAGAACTAAACTAAGTACCGCGAGTTTTCATGCCTTAATTTTATCTAGGCAACTGAAATTTATATTAATTGTAAGAAATTGAAGCAATTAAACAATCTAATAAAAAAAAAAGAAACAAGAATGAATAAAATGAAATACGGAAAAGCATATTTCACAGATGAGAAGAACAATAAGAAAGGGTATCTAGGATCTTGATTACACTCACTCTTCCCAGGTTTCTCCTATTTGGTAATACTAGCTAATTCCAACAATTCAAGGATCTAGGTACCTAGTTTAACCTCATTACCTTTCTCAAGCATCAAATGAGATAATATGCATAAATATTCTAATCAATATCTCTATCTAACCTGTCTACCTACACAATCATTAAGCTTGGCCCTAAAGTTGATTGTCAAGATATTGATTGTCTTTCAACCTCGCAATAATCAAGACTCACACAAAGACCATCCAAGTATTGATCTCCTCTCGGACTCAGAACACTTTAGACCGTGTTGTCCCAATTACCAACTATGAACTCAATCTCTCTCGAATATCAAATCCACAATCTAAGATCATCTAACTCGTTTCTTAAGAAGAATAGAGGCATTAAGCATGGAAAAACACACAAGAATTGAAAATTGAATCAAACTAGCATTTAACCAAATATTCAAAACATGGTCCAAGTGAGCTTCATCAAGCCCCTAGATTAAGAGTTTAGCAACACATAATTGTTTCAATAATAAGAACAAACCATAGAAATCCAAACATCAAATCCGTAGCTCAACACAACTCAAGAAAAATACACAAGTTCAAAGTAAAAATGAGAGAAAGAGAGAAGGAATGAAACTAGATGATGATGCAAGCTCCAAATCTTCAATTCCTTCTTCGATCTTTCTCAAAGCTTCCAAACTTGGTAATTTTTCCTTTCGGTGGCTGATTTTGTGAATCCCTAGGTCTGTCTTTCCTCTTCAAGAGTCCTCTCATGAATGAGTCATAAATGGCCTTTTATACCTCCTTGAAATGTGTGCCATTTTGGCCTCATTTTAGTCTCACCACGTGCAAATTCGCTGCAGCGGGAAAAGAATCCGCTGCAGTGCCGCAAGGAAATCAGCAAAACCCTAGAAAACTGCTGCAGCGGGCTAGAAATTCATTGCAGCGGATTGCACAATTCCCCTTGACCGCTGCAGCAGGAAAAGAATCCGCTGCAGAGGATCACAAAAACTGCTCCTCTCGGCCAAGATTTCTGCTGCAGCAGATTCCACATCCGCTTCTGCGGGAGCTAATTTCCAGTGCTCTTGTGCTAGATTTCAGCTGCAGCGGGAAATGCATCTGCTGCAGCCCCTTGAATGCGCACTTTTAACTCCAATTTTTCTCTTTTTGAGACCTTTTACTCCTTGAAACAATTAACCTACAAAACAGAATAAAACATAAGAAAAACGCGATAAAAAACCAAGAACCAACAAAATAGTTAAGTATGGAAATGTAAATAAATCAAGCTATCAGTTTGAAACAAAGATGTATGATGTATCTAGCATAAGGGGTGCTAATAGTAATAAAGTGTGGCATGTTACAACTATTACAAAAGGATTTGAGATATAAACGGATTGTGAGCTAGAAGTAAAAAATGTCGTAGTTGCAATTCAAGCATCGTTTTTTATTCGCATAAATATTGACAAATTTATAGTCGTATCATATTGATATAGATAGAAAATCAATTGGAACAACACATATTTGCCTAAATGGATGGATTTTGAATGAAACTTCAGTGAATGCTGATGTTATTTATGATGCACAAAATCAAATATGGTTAACTATTTATGACATGATCAGTAAGGCGCTCTTAGGACAAGTGCTGTGTTGAAAATCAAAAGATTGCTTTGGATTTGTAGAAATATTGACAAATTTATAGTGGTATCTATATTGATACTGGTTAAACCAATTGGAAAATCAGAATTCACATATTTGCTTCAACAGATGAATTTTGAGTGAAACTTTCGTGAATACTGTAGTAGTTTATATTGCACAAATCAAACATGCATAACAATTTATGACGTGATCAGAAGAAAAAGGTTACAATTTATCAAGATGGATGAGGGATCCATCTTCAACAAGTATCCTGTTGAAAATTAAAACTATCATGGAAAGTGGAAACACATTTTCAATTCATTGCATGTTTATTTTTATTTTTTTTAATTAAAAATACCATTTTGAGGATTAAAATGTCCTAATAATACTTTCTATATATAAAAAAAGTTCTAATTATGCAGAGGTGGTAGTTTACAACTATAATTTGAAGTGTTGCGCAACAATTATGTTCCAAACATAGTGCCCTCTTTCAGTGACCGTAACAATGCACTTATGGTGATGCAGTCAATTACTTTTATTCTCTTGTCAAGTGAAATCAAATGTCTGGTTGCCACTTGTCTCTTTGACGCTCGGCAGTTAGAATTAATTTGATATATTTTCTTACGGTTCCATAATTCTTTCTTTCTTTTTTCTTTTCTTCTTTCCCTTGATTTTAGGTAGTAGGAGTGGAACCAGCAGAAAGAAGTATCATCTCAGGGGAAAATCAAGGTTACAAGCACTCTACTGGAATCCTTTTTTTTTTTTTTTTCTGGTTTTTATCAGGTTTCTTCTACAGTTTTTGCTTCCAGAAAACATTGTGCCCTTTTGCACTAATCACATGCAAAAGTTTCCTGCAGGTTATGTGCCAAGCATTTTGGATATCAGTTTGCTTGACGAGGTTATCAAGGTACCGAATTTTATTTTTGGAAAATAGAATAAATAAGGGCCCGTTTGTTTCATATACTCAAACTCAAATCATTGATTCTGCTACAGTGTTTTCCTCTCACAAAAAATTTAAATTTCAAACGTCAGAATCAAGAATTATAGTTTGAGTATACACTCCAAACGGGCCCTAAAATCCTCATAGCTGAATACTTTTGCTTTTGTTATTTTTACTTGTTGGAATATCATCTTTTCTCCCTCAATTTCAGGGGTTGTAAAATGTATCCTTAACAGAGCCTTTCTAGTGCGATGGCAAATTAATGCGCCAATGCTAAATTTTGGTATTTCGATAGGAAACCTAGTCTCTGCTGCAATGCTATTTTTAGTTTTAAATTTGGCAAATGCTATATTTGGTGTCAAATTTACCAAGTATAGCATATGCCGAATGGTGGCATTTGGTTGTTACTTGTTGATGTGTGAATTTTTCATCTAATAATTACAACATTGCCATTTTCAAATTATTCAAAAATTAGAACTTTGCTTTTACAAGTTCCAAAGCTTAAAATTTCTTAGAAAAAAGTAGGTATAACATTTTGCATTGAAACCCAAAATAAAACAACATATCAAATATACGCTTGCCCAGTATAATACTGGCATTGGCTTTTGCATTCGAGATGGTCTGAAGTCACTCATGTTTGTTAGTTTTCAGTTATAAGATATTTCCATAACCCATTTTCTTCTTGAAAATTCTCCGACTATCCCTACCGTTTAGTTGACACTTGCAATCGAATCATTCACAAGGTGCTTTTATTTGTTTTGTGATAAATTTTCTTTTATTTCTTTTGTTATTAATTTCCTTGTCCGATCTGAGTTAGATGCATTGAAGATGTATTTTTGTTTAATTTCGGAAATGTCTTTTACCGTAACTATAAGTGGCTGTGACTTGATTGTTAGCATTTTTTTTTTCTCTCTTTTAAAGTTATTAAAAGGTTCATATGCAGCGTTTTATAGTGTTATCAATTTTTACGCTTGAAACATTTATCAATTCGGAAAGTAATCTGAATCATGGGTGAAGTAAATTAAATTCTTCTTACGAGTATATCTGAATCATAAGAGGGACTTACTTTAATAGTAGAAATCCACAGTCGAAACTTTCTTAGGGTGATTTCAATCGTTCTTGTGTATCTGCACTTCTCAAACTTATAATTACCAGATCAAAACTAGCTAGGCTTTTGCAAGTGTGTGGATAGAAGGATAGCCATTTCACTGTCGTAGGTAATAAGTGCTCAAGCACATTACTTGCCTGATGCACTGAAGTTCTCTCAATCTCCCGTTGACCCATAATGTCTTTTAAACGAGAAACTGATTCTGTACGGTTCAGATTTGGCTCTTTAAGGTTTACATTAGACTTTAGAGGATCTCGTATTTGACAGAAAACCGGTATAAGAAAGGACATGAAAGAACCTGAAAGACCTTGCCTACAATGCCATAATTTGGAACATCTGATGGAGTTATTGTGGTTATTTAGGTGTTGTTATCATTTTGGCCTCTTTTGGTATGTAGATGGATTGGACCAAATTTTAGCACGAGTACGAAAACCACACTCAATGCAATGTTGTTGTTGATGCTAATTTTGGCTTATGCTATACTTGGCGCCAAAGTGGCGCACCAAGTATAGCATAATTTGGCACCAAATATAACATGTGCCAAAATGTGACATTTGATTATTATTGGTTGATTTATTCATTCTTCTGTAATTTTGTTTAATCATTACAATAGTCATTTCTAAATTTTTTAAAATTAATGGTTTACTTCTACAGGTTCTAAAGCTTAGTAATTATGACAAAAAATAGATATAGCATTTGAAGTATGCATTGGAGCACAAGATGAAATAGTATATCAAATATGTCATTTTCATATTTTCTAGTGTCAAATATAGCATTGGCATTAGCATTTTCTTTGGAGATGGTCTTAGTGCTAAAATGTTTCCTTAATATTAGGCTTAAAATAATGGGAGAATGAAAAGAAAAAACAATTATAGGACACGCATTTATTGGAGATTGGGACCAAAAACAATAGATAGAAAATATTTGGAGTCTCTCTCTCTGTTTTTTGTTTTTGCTTTTTTTTTATTTTTTTATTTTTTATTTTTTGGAGTGGAGAAGGGGGGACTATTTTAGTTCATCCTACAATGGGATAAAATAGTTCCACTCCAAGGTTTACATAATCCTTTCACAAATTTGTCCAACCACTAAGGGGCACACCAAACATGGGACGGGACCTGTCATGACTGCAGTCCTTAGTCTAGCCCACTAAAGAGGCGGAATTTGATTCAATCTTCAGGTTTCGACTTCTATCAAATGCAATATTTGGACATGGACATGATGCTTGTTTAAATCTTTTGTCTGTCTTCTTTTTCTGGTTTTGTTAGCAAGGCATGCCGTTGGTTTCAAAATTCATTAGGTGAGCTATTAAATAAAATGTGGTTGAATAATGTAGATCACCAATGATGAAGCTGTCAAAATGGCAAGAAAGTTGGCGTTGAAGGAAGGTTTGCTGGTAATCGCTGCACTTCTTTAAAGGGATGTTTGTTTCATGTATCCGTCCCTAGTTCTGACTCATGGTTCATGATTTTCTATAGTGTTTTTCTCTCACAAAAAATTTAAATTTCAAAAATCAGACTCATGAATCATGATTTTGAATCTATAAACCAAACGGGCCCTAAATTTAGAAAGCGGTCACCTGCCCCCTGCCTATGTTTGTACATTAAGTTAGTTTTAATAAATTGTGGCTGACATGTTCATAGGTTGGTATATCTTCTGGAGCTGCTGCAGCTGCTGCACTAAACATAGCAAGAAGGACTGAGAATTCTGGAAAGCTTATTGCAGTAAGTTTTTGTTTGCTTAAGATAACTAGTTGGGTTCTAATACCACCTTCACCGGGTTGGAGAGCATTTAATAGATGGAACAAATTTTAAAAATCTCTCCTAAGCTTCTAGCATCATTATAACAATGTGCCCTTGGATTTCATTTGTATAGTCCTTGTAGAAATTGTAACAGATTCACCCCTGTTAGTATTTTGGAGGGAAAAGCAAAGTGTCATGCCCTTGTGTGTGGCAATAAAGTAAAATGATATTTAATGACTGGTTGGCCCAATAATAAATCTTATTAGGAAAAATTGAATTAAAAATTAAATATTTGGGCCTCTTTCCTTGTATTCCCCATTTTTGTTCAATCATTTCTTCTTCAAAACCCAGATCTACTTCATTTGAAGATCAAACTATGTGGTCCAGATCATTTCATGCTTTTAACCATTGTTTTTAGTTTTTGTGCTAGTGTTTTTTTTTTTTTTTTTTTCCCTTTGCTCTTTTGTTTACCTCTGTTTGTCTTTAATTTTGGTAAACGATAAGTACTTCGTTGTAGAAGTAAAGTGAACATTCAACTTGATTTCCCCCTTCTGTTAGTCTTTCCTATTGACGTTTACGCAATTTTTTGTCCTAGTATTTCTCTCCCATTCTCTTTTTCTCCTCTGAATTGTCATTTATGCTTGATTATTCAGAGAGTTTCCTCTGCATCTTCTTTTAGGATAGTGCACATATTTTCCCAAAATCATACTCATACAAAGACAAGAATAAAACAAAAGAATATTCCTAAATTATCCATTTACAAAAATCTCTCAAAACTGCAATCAAGTGATGGACACGTGCTATTTTCTGTCCATAAAACAACGAAAAGTGCAGTTTTAAACTTTAAAAAAAAAATTCTGGGAATCGGATCATACATTTCAAAATTGGAGAGCATATCGTTACTATGCTGAATGTTTGAAGATTATTTTTGAACTTTGTCCTTTACAGGTAAGGAAGAGGGCCTGTTAGGTAGTCATACCAATCAAAGCTCGTCAAAAGGAGAAAAAAAAAAAAAACAAACCATAAAAAAAGATAATTTTCTGGGTCCTCACTCACTTATGTGGGGCTCGAATTCTTAAAATACCGCAATATAATTTTATGCGTTGCAGATGTACGATACAATTACAATACAATATACATAAAGCAGGTTGCATAATTAGTCTATTTTTTCTCTTGTTTCATTTGAAAAATCAGGAAAATTATTTTTTAGCACAGAAGAAGTGAGAGAGAGAACGTGTATAACATTTTGAAGAGGAAGAGGATGAAAATGCTTTACGGATAGAAATTTAAAAACAAGGAAAGAAGGTTTCTGAAGGGAATCTTTCCAATAATCATTTTCCCTTTAGCTTATATTGCACCCTTTTAGGTCACATTTTCGTTGAAAGTGGAACCTAATTTTAAAATTGTGTGACTAGGAAATAGTTACCAAGTGAACAATATAGGACAAGAAATTTGGTGCCCTGAAATTTACTTTTGTCGGAATGAAGAGATTTGCATCATTAAAATTTGCACGAGGAAATTAGTTTTGCGAGAGACAACTTTGACAAAAATTTGAGCCTGCATTTTGCAAAATATGGCGACTTTAGCGCACAGGAGAATATCATATTGCTTATTTCAATTTTTTGTGTGCGCGATTTGTATGAAATTATGCTTTAGCTGATGGTTGTTTCTTTCAATTGACATTTTTTTTTTAAATGTGAAAGGTTATATTTCCAAGCTTCGGTGAGAGATATATTTCAACTGTTCTTTTCCAATCTATTTATGAAGATGTCCAGAAGATGGAAGGGAGATAGTTCAAAGTTGTGGACAATCAATTATTCCTCAATATTTTCCTTCTGTATCATCGGTCCAAAAGAAGCAGCGTTCATCTGATGGGTAAACTTTTTTATAGGTATAATCCGAAATCCGATGAATACCGTTTTCCTGTCTCAAGTTAATACCCTTGTAACTTGTTTGTGATGCAAATCTTCATCAACAGTGGAAACAATAAGAGCTGAGGCTTAAGCGAATATTAGGAATTGCATTTTTGTGCGTTTGCGCCCGCTAAAAGGGGAATAGCATTAATATTATACAAGATAACATGCAAGTTCTTTTATTTGAAATGTGTACTGGTGTGGCCATTCATGTATTTGTTATATTCTTCCAGGGGCTGTATTGATTGTGTTGGTTCAGGAGTGGGATGCACATTTTGTAGCTGTATCCTGCATTCTATTTTGAATTCTGTTATCTGAGCTAAAGGATAAGATTTTATTCCTTCGCTATTCATCATGAGACAGAATTTTGTTATCCTGAAGGAGATTTGTTGTGATTACACGAGCTGCAGCTGCAGAAGTTTCGATGTATAACCCATGTAGGAAATCTCGGATTAATTATTTTATGTAAGTATCCGAATTAGGTTTTAAGATTTGAATTATTTTGTGTTATTTGGTAGTTAGGGGCAGATGAGATCTCATACGGAGTATCTCCTAGATTTGAGAAGTAATTTGTCTTTTGAATTTGAATAAAGATTCAGACGAGTACAATCTGAATCTGTTAAATATATGTAATTCCACATTTTGTTTATTAATGAAGTATGCAGTGTTCTCCTGTTTTCTTCCTATACCTAATTTCATGGAATCAGAGCGGGTTTGTGGTTGATGAAAACGACGGTAAAAATCGCCCTAGTTCAAGCAGGGGGCGATGGCTTTGAAGTTTCTTATTGAAATACTCAGTTGACACCTACATTTGCTCGCATCGCAATTTTTTGACCATCCCACTTTACAAGTAACGTCTCACAAGCTTAATGGCAAGAATTGTTTGCAATTGTAGGGGTTTGTTTCGATGTTGATTTGCGGACGAGAAAAGAAGGGCTGTATTTTGATGGCATGATGACGAGTAGGGGTGGTAATTTGTGTCATGTTCGTGTCGTGTTTTGATCGTTTTTTTTTTTAATTTTCAGTCAATTCGAACACAATTCATGATACAAAATTTTTTAAAAATGGGTGGTAATTTGTGTCATGTTCGTGTCGTGTTTTGATCGTTTTTTTTTTAATTTTCAGTCAATTCGAACACAATTCATGATACAAAATTTTTTAAAAACCGCAACACGAACACGACACGGTCACTTTACGGGTTGACACGACATGATACGAAAATGACCCGTGATACGAAATTGACTCGTGAACTCGAAATTGACACAAAAGTTGTATACTCTTATTTAGTTTTTTACATATTAGAAATAACTTAAAATTCATAACACACTAAAATACAATAACATCCATTGAAATTAAGCAAATAATAGTATACAATTTTGAGTATAACTATCATGATATCACAAGTTCATACTAAAATTAAAAATATGTAATGAAAAATATATGTATTTTTTAGTTTTTTACGAGTTTCGTATCGTGTCCGGGTTAGGCAAGTCTAACCCGAAATTGACGTGTGTTTTTCATGTTAATTTCATATCGATCTAATTCTGACCCGAACCTCTTTTTTTCTCAACTCTAACCCGTGAAATTCGTGTCGTTTTTTAATCATGTTATCGTGTCGTGATTCATATTGCCAACCCTAATGACGAGTCTGAGGATGATCAAATGTTTCCAACTTGAGACGCACATAATTTCACGTGGCTCGTAAACTCAATGGAGGACAACATTGGAGATACTTACATCTATTATTTTACGGCTAAGGACCTTTGAGATGTCGTTACTCTTGCTTATTTCAATCTCAAAATCTCAGCGAGTCTTTGAATTACGAAATAAGGCATGAAACTTAAAACAAGGCTACTATGAAGTCACACAGTATTGCAATTTACTGAATAAACTGCGGAAGGAATTCGAGTTTTGTTACAGTAAAAAACTCTTAAAAACAATCACATTTAACTTGTTTGTTATAGTAAAAAGTTTTCACATAAAATCACATTTCAACTCAAATTAAAAATTCAAATAGCGAACTAAACGGATATGTTTAATGATATTGCATGGAGCTGCCCGGATGACAAAGTCAAGTTGAAGGAAAATGTTGATAAAGATCGTGCTTTTGATTTTCTTGCCTGTCTTCACAAGGAGCTTGACAAAGTACATGGACGCACTCTTGGGGCGAAACTGTCCATTGAAGAAGTATTTGCCGAGGTGAGAAGAAAGGATATCGAAAGCGCGTCATGCTCGAAGAATCAAAAGCAGCAATACAAATTGACAGCTCAGCTTTGGCTGCCCATGGACATGAGAACTTGACCAAAGGAGGAGAATCACGAGTCCAAAGGTGAAGAACATAAATGAAAATTACACTGTTTTTTCGTAAAGAAAGAGTGGATAAAAAATAAGTAAAAGAATAAAAGATATAGAGCATAGAGTACAAAAAATGAAAATATAAATTAATTTCTTTTTTTCTTATCCTCTAAGTAAGAGAAAAGAGTAAATAACAAGTGAATAAAAAATATAAAAAGATTGAATGAATTATAATAAAATAATTCTCGTTCGCCGTCATTAAAATTCCCATAGAAAGAGAATTAATTTTCATACTAATAATAAGATTCTAATCAAACTCAAACTTATAAAATATAGATGATAACAACATAAAGTTCTATTAAATCTTTTTTCCTTTTTTTTTTTTTTTTTTTTTTTGTTTTAGTTTAGATGGCGGTGACTTAGCTAGCGCCATTAAATTCGTTTTCCTGAGAAATCCGGATTTTATTGTGTGGATTTAGATGGCAGTGGTTTGACAACAGTTGCTAAAGCTCTTCTTGTATACAATTTAAGAGCGGTGTACGTTTAATCCCTATTGTAATACCACCAAAGTTAATCATACTTTTCACTGCATTCATTTGTACAACCGCCATTAAATATTGAAAAAAATTTCCCGCCTCCTCCAAATAACAAAGATGGCGTGTTTGTTTTGTTCAAGCGCCGTCTTTTTAAGCGCATGCTATTTAGTTACCATATTGTAGTAGTGATTACAATTTTTAATTAAATTTTGTATGTTTTGGGATCAACGTTGTACGATATGCAACCTTAGTCTATACACTAAAAAAAACATTACATTTAACATCTTTTAATAGAAACATTTATAAAATAACCGTCGTCTATATGAGTGACAAAAGTGCGCAAAATCTTAAACAACGGTTTTTTTAAAAACTGTCGTCAAAACTTTAACATTTAACAACAGTTTTATAAAAAACCATCACCAAAACTTTAACATTTAACAACAATTTTATAAAAAACTATCGTCTAATCTGAGCGCGATGTTTGAAATTTTAACTCGAACAAACTCAAATCCCTCATAACTTGAACAAAATTGAAGTACTCAAGTTGGTATTTAGTTTAGGATTATAAATTGATCAAGTACTTGAGAAGTTTTAATAAGTTTGGGATTAGGAATGAAACTACGGTTTTTGTTAATTTATTTTTTACAATATTATTGTTAGCATTGCAAGTTGCAATTGTGTTAATTTGTATTATTTGAATACAAATTATTTATATATAATTTAAAGATATTTAGTTAGTTCAAATCTTAGTTCTTAGAAACATGGCGGGCCGTGATTGGTTCGAGGAAGAACTTAATACGCACGAGAGTTATTTGGGGAGGAAGGCACTTCTGATGGGAGAAGTCAATATGAACTTAGAAAAAGAACAAAATTTGACCCGGATGATGATGGGAAACGAAGGGCAACCATAATGCGTAAGGTTGCCAAAATGAGAGATAAAGGAGAAAGAATTGAAGTGCAATTTGATAATAATAATAAAAAACCACTGGAAAAAGGGGAGAATGAGCTACAAAGGTATGTTGGTGTTTTGACACATGAACATATGCATATAACAATAGAAGATTGGAGACATAAAGAAAATAAAGATAACATGAATAAAATTTGGCATGATTTGGTTCAAAATTTCACGGTTCCAGAGATCGCACAAAAATACGAGCTTACTTGTGTGGCGAAAAGGGCTCAGGACTTTAGGTTGAACCTATTCACAATCTGTGTAAAGCCGTTAAAGGATAGTCCATAAGACTTTGAACACCCAAAGAAAGTGTCTAGAAACTACCCTTCAATTAACCCGGAGTAATGGAGGAAGTTTGTGGAGTCTTTAGTGATGATCGACAAGCCGTTTCCGAAGAAGCCTCTAAGAGAAGAGGATCGTATAAGTATCCGCATAGGAATGCTTGTGGGGGATAGAGGAAAGCAAAAGAAGATTATGTAAGTCTTTAATTACTTTTTTTAATGATAGTAATTACTTTTTGTTTGTATTATAACCTTTGATATACTTTTTAATTGAATGCATATGCGAATGCATAACACTACAGAGAAGCCAGTTCGAGCCACTTTATAGCAGTTTATACGCAAAAAACCGGACATAACTTACAAAATCCAGGAATCAAAGAGATCGACAAATTAATTGTGAGTTATTACTTTTCTTTTTAAAAATTTTTCAATCAATGGGAAATCTGCCAAAAAATTTATAATATTTTTGTTCTAAATTTTGTAGAACCAATATGCCGAAGAAGATTCCTAGGAAAAGTTTCAATTTTTAAAGGATTGAGGATGTGCTTACTAGATCATTGGGAAACCCAGAACACTCTGGTCGTGTTTGTGGGAATCCCAATTTGTCAAAAAGTTGACTTATTTTCATTACACTGGCATATCAAGAAGGGATGAGGAGTTACAATGTTGCGTAAGAGGGTGGAAATAATGGAGGCCAGATGGGAAGCAATGCGATCATCCCAAGGCCATACCCCAACACATGTAGGAGAGGGAATGGAAACTCCTATGGTAGATCAACGACGTAGTGTTAAGGAGAGCTCTACTATTTATAATGCTACGCCACCGGCAGAACCCCCCTCATCAGGCCTTGGTGATGGTAGTAAGTGCATTCTTCTGGCTCTGACAAAGTGGAAGAACAACTTCATCATTGTTGCGACGGGGATGGCGTGGATGGATAGTCACCCCACCGATGTTGTCCATGGTGTGGCACTTGAGGAGGGAAATGTACGCGTCTATATTCAATCGACTTATGTGAGAGACGTGCCTCTGCCTATCTTTACATTTGATAGCATGACTGTGGGTGACGCTCTCGGAGGATTTGTTGCCTGGCCTAGGAATTTGGTTGAACTAGGGTCGTTGAGTAAAGTTAGCAAAGCTCTGACCAGAAAAGAACCTGTCGAGAATCCCCCAGAGCCGGCGAAGAAAAAAGCTGGGAGACAAAAAAAATTAAAAAATACACAAGGACCCGCCGGCGATGGGGAAGTAATACAACCGCTGCCGGACCAGTTGCAAGGGTTGCCCATAGAAATGCAAGACTTAATGATTCATATGTGAAAAACGATGGCCATCGGTGGAATAATTCAGATTCCCCTTCCATTTGATATGACTCAGATGCAGAATATGCAGATCTTCATTACATCTGATGATATCGAATGGACAGTCACCTATAAAGAACTTAGTATAGTGTGTATCATGGCTTACATGTGGTAATATAAGTATACTTATTACTTTTTCATAATAAATTATTATTTATTATTAAATGTATAACTAACTTCTTTATTTTTGATGTAATCACTTGTCGCATGTGTGCAATTAGGAGAATGTCCTAGGATGTTGGGATTTC